CCTTTTCTCATCTACACGTTGGAAGTCCAAACAGATCATGCAACATATCTTAAAAACTTCAAGTACCTTTGAGTCATGTATCAATCACATGCTGCAATTTGATTACCTAGTTTAACATTGACTACTGACTGCATCTGTCATGTCTATTTACTGTACCATAGTAATGTGCAGAGAACTTTGTTCCTGCACAATTTGATAACGTTGTGCCAGTGAAAGATCATATATTTACTAGTGTTAGAAAGATCTGCAAGTAGTCAAGAAAATAGGAAGTGACCTGTAATGCAGATACTTTATTTTTTAGCATGAATAGAATACTCTTATAAAAAGACGTATTGGCAAGAGTTAGTAAATATTTATGTAAAAAAAGGCCTTGAATATTAAAATATAATTAAAAGGATGTTCCTCACTAAAACTCAGAGATAAATATTGTCTTACTTTGCAAGTGGTTTTGTACAAGTCCAGCATTTATGAATGTAGTTTATTTCCAACATTTGTGATTTTTATTAGGAAAATCATTACAATCATTTGTTTTGATTCTATCAAAAACGTTTTCTACCTCACTTGCCATTAATCACTGAGAAAAAACTATATTTAGATCAGTTTTAAGTCAACAGTGTGGTGGCTCTGGGGCTCAGGACCTGTCCCTGTGGCTGGGAGGTTGCCAGTTCGAATCCCACGGCCAGCAGAGGAATCCTACTCCGTTGGGCCCCTAGACCCCAGCTGCTCCAGGGGTGCTGTATAAATGTCTGACCCTGCACTCTGACCCCCAGCTTCTCTCCCTGTGTGTGTGTGTGTCTCCTGTAGAGCAGGCTGGGGTCTGTGACAAGACAGACTCCTCACACGAGAGACTGTAGATGGCCCATCAAGGGATCCTGTCAGTATGGGGCCACAGGGGCCAGTATCCAGTATCATTAGCTCTCTTTCTAAATCGACTCAAATCAAACATGGCTATTGAAACACAGCCACTACTTAAATTAAAGCAAACCGCTAAAGAAAAAAAAAACCACATACCTCCACATTTCGGCGGGGGATGACCTGATGGTCTCTTGGCCCTTGGTGAGCAAACAGAAGCATCTCTGATCCTTTCAGATGTTTGAGATGAGACCGCAGGTGGGTGATGGTGCTCACATGCACAGTGCAGCTCGTCCTCTTTCAGTGCTGCTGTGCTTGACGAATGGGGGTTTGGAGACCCTCCTGGAATGGATGGAGTCTTTAATATTTTAAATTAGCTTGGAAAACATAAACAGCACAGACATGATTAGGGTCTTGAACTAAAGAGAGCACCCTGGAGATCCCTTCTGAACCCTTCAGTTCACACACTAGAGATAAATGTCAAAAACAGGAAAAAACAGAAAACGCATTTTATTGTCCTTCCTCAGAAGGCAATATGTCGGGTTGTGGAACACAGAGGATGAAAATTTCTCTTTCCAGTTCTTCTCCAACACATCTTCTCACTTGCATAGAAAGTTTCAAGCAACCAGGTTTGGCTCAAAAGATCAGAAACCCAAGCAGCAGTCTTTAAACGCAAACAAAACTGGATTTATTGCCATCAAAACAGGGATAAAACCCCTCACAGGGATACTCTCTGCACACCTTCCCTTCAAGACACCCTCCCCATACTGAGCTCTCCCAGTCCCTTTTATAGCCCCTCCTCTCCAAGGACCAGCCTCTTAAAGGGACCCACTCACGTCTTTTCACAGACCTCTAAGAGAGACGGGCGATTTGATACAAATAAAGTATTTAACCATCCATAAAAACGTATACATTTTAACAGAGTCATGCACCAGTTATATATCCACTCAAAACAAAACAAATAATCTTACACCTGTTATTTATGGATGGCCACCAGTCACCTTTCCCCTTAAGACCATTTGTGGGAGCATTGTGGGATACTTCCAACAGGAAAGGTGACCGGCGGCCATCTTGACCAACACAACACAATACCCACTGGGGAAACACTGCAGCGGTTTTAGGGGAACAAAAAAGGGCAAGTATCACTCACACTTCATTTGTATCACAAACACACTCCCAAACATACCAGAATGGTAGAGGAAAATACTGGAGTATTTCATGTCCATCAGAAGAAATAAAAAACAGGCACTCTGTCACAGTAAACATTGGCATGGAGTGGCATGGGTTTTTATGAAGGCAGGTCCTGGAATGATTTTCTTCTCCTTCCTAGAGATGTGAAATAAATTGCACAATTTAATGCAAAGTTACATAAAGTTTTTTAACACTTCTGGTGTGTATATATGACAGATTGACAAGAGGCTACAGTGATCAATCTTCAATATCTTGATAGAATAAAAACTAAATGGAAAAGACAGGCAAGGAGCAAGGACAGCTAAGAACTCTCTCTTCACTAAAGCCCTCCCTGAAACATCTCTAAATGGTCAGAATTCGATGACTGACAGCTGGTTCTTCCTATGACATCAGCTTTCTCGTTAGCTGGTCGGTTTGAAAAGTTGTGGGGCCTTCAGCAGCCATTTCCTTTTTGTTTCCTGTATTTTCCACATGGGAAAGTTTTACTCTACAAAATTCACTTTTTCAAAGGGAAGGGATCTACTCTCTTTTGCTTTTGCGATTGCATTTTGCTGGAGAATCGATTATCACCGATGGTCTTCGGACCTTCTCTCTGTGCTGTTTGTGGTGATGTACGGTTCATAGTGTTGTGTTTTGATTTTGCTGGATAAAATATTTAAAATACCCCCGTTGTGCAGTTTGTCTGAAGTGCTGTTGTCAGCATTATGCTTTGTTTATTACGAAATAGTTGCCCTGTTGTAAAAAATAATAATGATTGTGTGAAGAGGAAAATGGAGATCACGTGCATTTGTGATATTCTGAGAAATGATTAAAAAAGTGGTTTTTAGTGAAGGAAAGTGTAGAGTTAGAAGCGAATTGACACTTGTAGTCGGGGGGCCTACAATGGAGTGGATAGGGTCAAAGACTTCACTGTGGCTGTGAGCTGGGCTTCAGAAAGGTACACTAAGCGCACAGATACTTTGTGTATGCACCTCTTCCTCGCCCACTCAGAATCCAGGCCCCTGTAGACTTCAGCGTCCCAGGAGGAACGAGGAATGTAGTGGAGTAAAAGTACAGTTCTTTGCAGAATCAGCATGCTTGACTTTTAATATTTAAAGTGAGCTCACAGCTCCAGCTCCATCTACAGATATGCCGATGACACTACCATCGTTGGCCAATCACCAGTAATGATGAGACGGCCTACAGGGATGAGGTCAGGAGCCTGCTGGAGTGGTGCCTTGAGAATAATCTCTCCCTCAATAACCAAAGCAAAACCAAGGAGCCGGCCTACGATGTTAGAAAACAGGGTGGCGACTGCAGCCCTGTTCACATCAGTGGGGTGGCTGTAGAGATGGTGAGCAGCTTCACGTTCCTGGGTCCCTTCATCACTAGTGATCTAACGTGGTCCCAGCATGTACCTGGAGCGACAGAGAAGGCACAGCAGCGCCTTCGCTGCCTCAGACAGCTAAAGAAATTTGGACTGTCTTCAGTGGTCCTGACCACATGTTCCAGGTGCGCTATCGAGAGCGTGCTCGCGTGTGGGGTTACAGTGTGGCTTGGCAGCAGCTCGCTGTCTGACTGGAAGGCATTACAGGGGGTGATCGGGTCAGCCCAGCCCCGTCCATTATTGAGGTACAGCTTCCCTCTACTGTGGACATGTTTACAACTCGCTGCCTCAGGAAGGCTGGAAGTATCGCTAAGGACACCAGTCATCCTGGTTCCTCACTGTTCTCCCCTCCTGCCCTCTGGTGAGCATTACAGGAGCATAAAGGTACGAATGTCCAGATTGAGAGACAGTTTCTTCCTGCCAGCTGTCAGATTACTGAACTCTGCCCCTGCCACTGACTAAACTCATCTACATTGCTGCAGCTGAAAGTAGTTCAAGCAGGCAGCTGTGTCAGCAGGCATAGTCTGCAAGGGAACAAGGTTTATTCCTTTCTGAAAGGAGAAGAAAAGAAACACAACGTTTCGGCTGTGGAGCCTTCTTCAGGTGTGAGACAGACAGGGCAGACAGCAGAGGTGAAACAGCACAGGAGATAAAGAGCTGGGAGAGGGAGAGGCAGGAGCAGGGGACAGAAAGAGGCCGGGAGAGGGGAGAGGCAGAGAGGCCACTCAGGTGGTGTGGAGTCGAGGGAGGTGAAGAGAGGGGTGGAGTCGAAACCTGCATGAGAAAAGAGAGGATTAGAAGGAAACGAGTCTGTCATTGAGAGAAGGGGGGAGGTGTGAACCAAGTTTCAGGATAATTGTTGTTTCTGATGTCTTTCTGCAATAGGAGTTAAGAAAACCGTCTTTGAGAACACAGACGGAGAGATTAGAGTGGTCGTGGCCGTCAGAGGTGAAATGAGAAAAAATGGGCTTGGAGAGATCTTTAATCTTCACAGCCCTGACGTGTTCTCTGAAGCGGTCTCCGAGTCTCCTTCCTGTTTCCCCAACGTAGATGGCTGGGCATTTACTGCAAGAGATACAGTAAATAAGGTTGCTGGAGGTACAAGATGCCCTCTGGGTGATCCGGAATAGTCCTGAGGGGCCTTGAATGAGTGTGGTGGTGGCTGTGTGCTTGCAGGTTATACAGGGAGCTCTGTTGCAGGGGAAAGTGCCTGGTGTGGATGGTTGCTGAGGGTGGTCAAGGGAGCTGTGATTAGGTGGTCGGCGATATGAGATGATGGGGAGGTCAGGAAAGAGGGCCCCAATGGAGGGATCATCCTGTAGGATGGGAAAGCTGTCGTTAGTGGTCCTGGGGGTAGAGAGCGTGTTGGGATGGAAGGGAAGCACCACAGGAATGCGGCTGTGAGACCGGGAGTTCCTGATTGAGTAGATGGCCCGGCGTCTGTTTCTGGCTCGGGTGAGGGCCCTGCCGATGACACGGGTGGGGTGCGTTCTGAGTGCGACACGAAGACATGACTCCAGCTGCATCGAAGTGTCCAAGTGTCAGAACAAACTCCCTCCACCTCTCCCATATTTCTGCTCCTTCCCGCCAGGCGCTGAGTTCGCAGATCGCCACAGGGCTGCCCTCATCCAGCGGGTGACCCAGGTCGGACCGCTGGCGGATGAGCTGCTCTCAGTGGGCATGATCCACCAGGAGAGCTACTCCAGAGTCCTCGCTGCGGCCACCCCTCAGGACAGAATGAGAGAGCTGTACTCAGCCCTGGACTCCGGGGGAGAGACCGTGAAAGACGCGTTTTACTCAGTCCTGCAGAGAGACTACAGTCACCTCGTCCACGACCTGGGTGAGAGTTTCAGTTTCGTTCCTCTTGACTCCCATCACCTCCGGTCCTCTGAATGCCTATTCAGTGAGGTGGCGGACAGGCCTTCCTCACGATCACCTGAAAAAACCCTCTTTCTTCAAGACGCCAGGTCCTGCTCTTGAGTCTTGCTCTAGTTAGAGAAACAAGATATTTCGAGATGGGCAGGGGAAATCAGTCAAACCACTTTCGATCGGGAGTTAAAATCCCAACCGAATACATGTTTTATACATTATTCAATTTATTTCCAGTATGACACGAAATTTACAATATGTACATTATGCGAATGTTCCAATAATAATATCAAGATCAGATCCCTTGATCGGCCATCTACAGTCTCTCATATGAGGAGTCTGTCTTGGCCATGGGATTCGAACTGGCAACCTCCCAGCCACAGACGCAGGTCCTGAGCCCCAGAGCCAGCGCCCCGCCCCTGTGCTGTCTGAGCTGCGCGCGCAGGTCTGGGCTGCACCAGGAGACACTCGCTCACACCTTCGGAAATGTCTTAGGATCTGTGCCTGTGGCTGGGAGGTTGCCGGTTCGAATCCCACGGCCTGCAGAGGAATCCTCCTCCATTGTGCCCCCGAGGGAGGCCCTTAACCCCAGCTGCTCCAGGGGTGCTGTGTAAATGTCTGACCCTGCGCTCTGACCCCCAGCTCCTCTCCCTGTGTGTGTGTGTGTCTCCTGGAGACCAGGCTGCGGTGTGTGACGAGAGAGTGGAGCTGGCCCATCCAGGGACCTGATCTCATATAAAACCCAAACCAGTCCCCAGCGAGGCTACAGAGTGAACACTCTCTCTGTATCTTTACAGATCCCTCGGCAGGACGTCTCCTTGCTCCAGCTTCACAAACGCCCCTCACAGGTTGGTCCGGCTGCTTCCTCCTCAGCACATCTAGACAGCTTTCTTTCTGTATTGTCACAGAGTTGCGAAGCGCCTTGGGGCAACCTTGTTGTGAGAGGCGCTATATAAAAATAAATTGAATTGACAACAATCACAGAGACAAACGGTATGAACCTAGATTTCTGATCACCTTCAGAATTGAGGCTGTCTATAACGCCCCCTGTTGGAGGGGTGACAAATCTTCAAGAGCTGTCTAAATGTTTCTGCAGCATGGTTTGGATTTTACTGAAACGTCTTGAAAATTACCCAGAAGAGCTCATTCTGCACATTCACATTTGTGTGAAAAACAGGTATTTCATTTGTAAGTCAACACAATGGAACATCATTGGAAGGCAGTGATCCCATCACTCCTGTCCTGGAGTCCCAGCACTGGCTTTCTGTCAGGTTTCGTGTCGATTTCGAAATCCTCCTGCTCACCTGTAAGGCTCTGCTTGGCTGGGCGCCTCAGTACCTGTCTGAGCTGCTGTCGCCCTTCACCACCTTCGCTCCTCTGATTCTGCTCTCCTGTCTGTCCCCCAAGCCCCTCGACACTCTAGGGGTGACAGGGCTTCTCCTGCTGCGCCCCAAAGCTCTGGAACTCTCTCCCCAAGGACATCAGAGAGTCTCCTTCTCTAAACCTCTTCAGATCCAGACTCAAACCTGTTCTTCAGAAGAGCCTGGACTGACCTGGTACTTGGTACCCCCATCATCTGTCTCCTCTCACTGTGTATTCTCAGCATGCTTATCTTGTGTCTTGTACTTGTTGTTCTGTAAAGCACTTTGAGAAACCACCTTTATAGGTGCTATATAAAATAGTCTATTATTATCAGTTTTCATTCATTTTCCTGCTTTTCTCTGAGACCTGACCAGTAAAACAGGGGCATGTGTTTCCTTTTTCTCTTTTTAATAAAATATGAAGCGCAGTTTCTTAGTCATTTCAGCCATTATTAAATAACTTTTCTCTACACTGTTAACAACAATCCACCAGAGAAGAACTGATCACGTGTTTCTGCAGTAATTCAGCGGACTTACAAGCAGTGATCTATGAGTAATTCACAGTATATTTCAAGTGTGAGGCTATTTATTATTCGGTTTGTTTGTCAAACGGTGAAACGGGCAATCATTTTTCTCGTGTTTGATCATAGAGACAGAGAGAACTGGATTTCATTCAACGTACCTAGAAGCTCATTCCTTAGCTCATGGTCCTTGATGAGCATCTTAATTGCCGTGTTCCTGAGAAAGCAATACTTAACCTTATGGAAAGCAGCAATAATCTTTTTCTACGGTGGTACTAAATACCAAATTTGGGTTCTCAAAGAAGGGTTTCTTAACTCCCACAGCAGAAGGACATCAGAAACACCTTCCCCCTTCTCTCAGCGACAGACTTGTTTCTGTCATCTCCTCTATTCTAATGAAGGCTTCACCTCCACCCCTCTCTTCACCTCCCTCGACTCCGCACCACCTGAGTGGCCTCTCTGCCTCTCCCCTCTCCCCTCTCCCCTCTCCCGGCCTCTTTCTGTCCCCTGCTCCCACCCCTTGCTCCTCCCCTCTCCCAGCTCTTGATCTCCTGTGCTGTTTCACCTCTGCTGTCTGCCCTGTCTGTCTCACAAGAAGAAGGCTCCACAGCCGAAACGTTGTGTTTCTTTTCTTCTCCTTTCAGCAAGAATAAACCTTTACTTGTTCCTAAACACGAAATATGTTGTATCTGGAGTGCGGGTGGTCTTCTCCTGTCGTTTCTTTCATCTGACCCGTTAGGCACAGTAGCTCTAGCGACACACATTTGTCACTTCCATCACGGGGAGTTTTATTCTGCTGGGTCTAAAATCCCATGAAATATGTATGTTCATTTGTTTCTTTTATATAACTTAAAAGGATCTAAAAACTGAATCGATCTAAATCCTGATCTAGTTAGAGCAGCAGTGGGAGATGCCTGTGGAATTGACGTTTGTTTTCAGCTTGTTTTCTAGAGGAATTCTTTCTCTCTGCTGCAATCGTGTCATTCCTGGGCGCTGATTGCACAGCAAATGATACCAGTGACCCTCTGTGACGAAGGGCGTCCTGTCTGTTCCAGGGTGGCTGCAGACGCTGAGAGACAAACACAAGGCAGCCCTGAAGAGGAGGTTTGAAGTCGTGTCTGAGGGGGTTGCTCAGCCGGGAGAGCAGACCCTCATGGATGACGTCTTCACACACGTGTGGATAACGGAGGGCAGCTCTGCCGAGGTGGACCGTGGGCACGAGGTCAGGCAGCTGGAGACCGTCTCCAGGAGCAGGACGCCGGCGCTGCGCCGCATCAGGTGCGCTGATATCTTCACGCCGATGCCGGGGCAGGCCAGACCCATCAGGACCGTCCTGATGAAGGGAGTCGCGGGCATCGGGAAGACGTTCTCCGTGCGGAAATTCATTCACGACTGGGCCGCCGGGCGCGAGAACCAGGACATTGACTTCGTTTTCTTCTTCCCGTTCTGCGAGTTGAACTTGATCAGGTCGGAAATGAGTTTACTGGAGCTGGTTCAGTGTTTCTGCCCGGAGATCCAGTCTTCTCACGTGTTTGACCAGTGCAAGGTCTTGTTCGTCTTCGATGGACTGGACGAAACCAGGCTTCCTCTGAAGTTCAGGATGAACCAGAGGTGGTCGGACTCAAGAAAGCCGACGTCAGTGGACACCCTCTTCACAAACCTCCTCAAGGGGAACCTCCTGATCGAGGCCTCGGTCTGGATCACGTCCAGGCCGGCCGCGGCCGGTCTGATCCCTGCGGAGCTCGTCAGCAGGGTGACGGAGGTGCAGGGCTTTGAAGACCAGCAGAAGGAAGAGTACATCCGGAAGAAGTGTGGAAACGAAGCTCTGGGAGAAGACGTCATCGCTCATATAAAGACCCTCAGGAGTCTCCACATGATGTGCTATGTCCCTGTTTTCTGCTGGATTGTAGTAACAGTTTTGGTGCACACATTGGAAGCGGACAACAGGGACAATCCAAGGACTTTGACGGATTTCTATACAAACTTCCTTCTTGTCCTACTGACAGCCAAGGAAGAGAAGGAAAAGAAAGAGAATGTCCTTGAAGCGAACAAGGAAGCGATTCTTAAACTGGGAAGGCTGGCATTTGAAAGTCTGGAAGAAAGCAACATTGTATTTTATGACAAAGATCTGAAAGAATACGGCATTGATATAAACAATTCTTCGCTTTATTCAGGGGTGTGTAGGGAAATATTCAAACAAAATTCATCCTTATTTCAGGAAAAGGCCTACTGCTTTTTACATCTGACCGTCCAGGAGTATTTTGCAGCTCTGTATGTTTTCGGTTCCTATCAAAAAAGCAATATTAACCCACTGAAGAAAACATTTGGGGACTTTCCCACTTTCGGGAAAAAGTCCTTGTTCAGTTTGAATGAAGCTGCTCTGATTAAGGCCAACAAGAGCAGAAATGGCCACCTTGATCTCTTTGTCCGATTCCTGCTGGGAATGGGAATGGAGACAAACCAGGATCTGTTGAAGGGATTTCTGTCAAACGCAGAAGACCACTCCAGTGACATCGAGAAGACAGCGGGATTCATCAAGAAGCTCATTAGAGAAACCTCCTCTCCTGAAAGATGCCTGAACCTTTTCCACTGTCTGAGTGAACTGAAGGACAAGTCATTAATGGATGAATTTAACGCCACTCTGGAAACAGGAAAACTCTCAAGGCAAAGACTCTCCCCCTCCCAGTGTTCCGCACTCGCCTATTTCTCCCTGCTGTCTGAGAGTGAGATCGATGACCTGGACATGAGCCAGTACGCTACGTCCGAAGAGTGTGCTCGGAGACTGCTGCCTCTGGCAAAGATATCAAAATCTCTAAGGTACGTACGTCAGTTTTTTACAACTATTTTCTTCAAGAACTTTCTTTAATAAAGACTCCAAGGCCAAGAGCTGGTACTGGATCCCTTTCCTTTGTCCTTCGGTGTGGAATTAATCTTTAGCTGTTCCATGGCGGCCTGCCACAGGCCAGCAGGCCAGCGGAAGGGCTAGGCACTCTTATCCCAAAGGGGCCAGGCAGTAGACGTGGTCGAAGGCGAGGTCCGAGGTTCGAATCCGAAAAGAACGAACTTGGATGAGAGGCCGAGATAAGGAGAGGCCGATACCGGACAGAGGGCACCGTGGGGTTGAGTATTACGGGAGATGGAGGGTGTGGTGTTTAGTGAAGTGCTGTGGGTGGTTGATTGGCCACAGCGATGTCGTTTTCTGGAAGTGCTCAGGGCTGGGGTGAGCTGGTGAGCAGCGGGCGTGACGAACCCCTGTGCTCTCTGACTCACTTCAAATACAGAACACAGAAGATTTTCGTGAAGGTCTTAAAATGCATTCAGAAAAGACAGAGATCGCCAACTTACATGTATCATACAAAGGCAGAAAATATATTCAGCTTATGTGACTCCGAAGTCAACATCTCTGTGTGAATAAGTATGCCAACCCTGAGACGGCCTCCTCGAGCCACTGTGACGTCAACTAGACTGCCGTGACGTCCGAGGGATTCCTACCAGGAAGTCATGCCGTAACATCTCAGACGTTGATCTGGCTGATCCAAAATACAAAAGCCCTGCCTTTTCAGCCATTCGGTGTTCAATCTCCGTGCTCACCGTTCTGCTGGACGAGCAGGCGGTCTGGGTTGGTCTCCTCCAGCAGCAGGTCTAATACAGGACCAAGCGCCTCCCAGCAGCACGTGTCACCGCTGGGTTGAGAGGGATCAAACGTTTATTTCTCTTATTTCACTGCTTTTACTGTGTGAATAATTTACTAACACCATTGACTCATTATCCCGCTAGAATAATGGAAAATGACTAACTGCAACTTAAGTGTGAGCTGGTTGCGCGCCCGGAACGAGAGGGCGGAGCCTGACCAGGACTGAGAGCATCCGATATCTGCTTACGCCATGATGAACACAATCTAGAAGCACATGCTGTCTGCTGAAACAAGGATCAAAGGAGCCCAAGAATACTCTTACAATTCTTGGTGTAAGAGCTTTGGTGTGTGGCTTTACACCATATATGCCATGGAACTCTTCTGGGTGGGTTTTCTGTTTGTGATTTTGTATAAAAAGCGTCATTTTGTATTCATGAATCGAGTCAGTGCTTCATCTGCTTAGGCCCCCGTATGCACACGTTATGAAGGAAATGCCTCCTTCACAGACCCCCGGATCGTGTCCCCTTGTGGACACCACTGAGACTCTTCTGCTGACAAGCAGTGTTTAGTGTCTGCCCATCGAAACGCCTCGGTGATCTGCTGCACTGGCTTTGAAGGCAGCGATCGGATGGCAGAGACGGGATTCAGGGGCTGGTGCTGTGAGCACAGAGGTGCAAACAGGCTGGGGTCAAGACTGTGAGAGCACAGAAATCAGGGAGCAAAAGATATCCGGACCCGGCAACACCCCACTCTTACACATTCACACACAGAGCACACACACATTCACACACACACACATTCACACACACACACACACACATTCACACATTCACACACACACATTCACAC